AATATTAATGGACTAGTCTAGATTTTCATTGTGTTATTAAAAGAACATACAATGTAAATACATACAACACCAATATGACAGTGTTAAATGTATGTAACCAGACTAACAGAATGTAACTTTCTTCTCTTTCTGTTATATGTGGTTTATCATATTTTCATATCCATGAAAAGTATAAAACCTAAGGTTAAGATTGCAATGCTGTTCAGAATATCACTCATGTATTCATTGTATTTTTGCCTTTCTCTCTCAGACATAGATGAGTGTTCAGAAGGCACCAGTGGTTGCACACAGATCTGTAACAATGAACTGGGGTCCTACAACTGCTCCTGTAACACCACAGAAGGCTACGTCCTGTACACCACCAATGGCACAGAGATGTACTACATCCCAGACATCGAAACTGGACTGAGAAAGGGAGACTCCTACCACATCAACCACACTTGTGTTTGTGAGTGTTTTTTTTTTTTTTAGTCATTCAGAAGTTGACTGTAGTAGAAACAGTAATTTATTGTTTTACTGTACAGGTAGAACATGTGATTTGTACAGGCCCGTAGCCAGCAGTTGCCAAAGGGGGTTCCTTTTTCTGGAAATGTGGACCTTTTGTCATGAAACCTTAGTTTACCTAGGTCAAATTTACTCACAAGGGGACCTTTTCCCAGCAAAAAGGGGGGCTCTTTCGAACCTCTTGAACCCCCCCCCCCACCCCCCCACCCCTGGTTACGGGCCTGATTGTATTTAAATCATTATGACTTTCTGACTTGAGGATAGATCAAAATCTATAAATAAGCCATATATTGATAACAACTGCTTGGCCACCACACAGTATCCCTTCCATTAATTAATTTCTCAAAGCTGGCACACTGGGTCTTCTTCTTCTTATCAAGTTTCTTTGAATTCCAGTACGCATGTGCCCCTCACCTGCTAATGCCATCATCAATGGCAAGTTCCTGTCAGGGGCGTACATCTTCCGTGTTGGTGAACGTGCCAGCTACCAGTGTGACCTGGGCTATGTGATGGACGGGTCAACCTCCATGACATGTGGCGCTGATGGACAGTGGATTGGAGAGCCTCCTAAGTGCAGTGGTAATGCATTGCTGATCATACATACACACATGCATTTTCACAGGGTGTTAGATGTTAAATGGGAATATTTTGAACCAGAGAGGCAGTTGAAGCATGATTGTTTATAATCATACTTACACTTGTACTTCAACACAGTGTTTATTTTCCCGTGTAAAACTTTATTTGAGCCTAAAGCTTATAATAACATCAATCATGTAACAGTATATTAAATACCAGAAAATAAGCTATTACATACAGTATTTATAAGAAACAAATGTTTAATTTCTTGATAAATGTCATAGTTCAGCATTCAGGTTGATTATTTTCCTATAAATCTCCAGTTGCCACTTGTCCCCCACTTAACCTGACTGGTCTGAGTGCCCCCCCAGTGGTCAGTCCCAGCTCAGCTGTACCCTATATGTCAGTGGTCAATATGACCTGTACAGTGGACGGCTACAATGACCCAGTGGTCAGAACTAGGCAATGTCTCTATGACAGGACCACCAATATGTACAGACTGATGGGAGACAGGCTGGAATGTCCAGGTATGGAGGAACAATGCTTTGGATACTTTGTATTACATTGTATACTTTTTATAACATTTTATTGGGTAAAATGTAGGAACTGTTTGTGAAATAATTATCATGTTATACTTTGAAACCTTGCATATAAGATTTTTATATATATATTTGGTAGATTACATGGCCTGTTTTGTGGATTGTTATTTGTGGATTGTTATTTGGTTTGTTATATAGTCTGTTTTATAGTCTGTTATATGGTCTATATGGTTTCTTACACAAGTTGCTATATGAACTGTTATATGTTTTGTTCCAGTAATTGACTGTGGAGACCCTGGAGTTATCTCTGGCTCTAACTACACAGTAGGTGGAACCAACTTTGGGGATTCATTTACATTTGTCTGTAGTCGTCTGAACACCCTCCAAGGACAGTCCACCATGGGTGACCATGTGGTCCGCTGCAGGAACAACTCACGCTGGGACTTTGGAGACTTGGCTTGCAAAGGTAGGGAAGACAGAGGGGTGAAAAAACTTGTGTATTGTTTCTTCTATTGCTTACTGTTGATGTTTACATTTCCAGTAGTAATTACTATTCTTGAATACCCTAGGTTTATACGCTCACACTACATACAGTGAGCTGCAGAAAATTGATTTACTTGCTAATATATATTTTTTTTCTGGAGTTTATGCATTGTATTGAACCAAATAAAGTTGCGCCTGAATCGCTTTGGCTGATATAAGCTGTATTCTTATTTTATTTATTGTTAAATATAGTGTATACATTGTATAATAGATTATGTACATTATTATTTATATTACACACATTTTGTATCTATACAAGTATTAATCTATTCTCAAGGTGACACATGTCTTGACCCTGGTCGTCCAGCTGATGGCTATCAGAACGCCACCAGGTACGAGCAAGGATCTCTGGTCACGTACACCTGTCTTCGTGCGGGGTACGAGCCCCGCCCTGAGTTCCCACTTATGTGTATCGTGGTGGGAGACAAACTGCAGTGGAATGCATCTGTTCCTACCTGTGAAGGTGAGTTGAAGTCATTTGAAAGAAAAATATATCCAACCACTCGATATTTTATTATTTAATGTATCAGTCTATTCTAATTTATTTTATTCTTTTAATAAGATGTGGAGTCACCGCAGTTAATGAACTGCCCCCAGGAGGTGATGTATGTGAAGAAGTACTACGCTGCTGGTATCATCCCACCGTCTGCCACCGACAACTCGGGCATGGCCACCGTCACCGTCAGTCCCGCCACCTTCCTGCCAAACCTGACCCTCACTGAGCCTGTCAATGTCACCTATACCGCCACTGACCCATCAGGCAATGCCGTCTCTTGCATGGTACAGATTAGAATTAGATGTAAGTAGCAATTTTTATTGCGAGAAATGTTGATTGTTGCCATTAGATATGATATTCAGGTGATTATACTTGTATATTGGTATGCTGTCAACATTTGATAACTCTGGGATAGTGTTAACACTCGCCAATTTAGCCAAATGCTAAAACTGACTGGCTTTGGCTAAACAACGTAGGGTTGATATGACTGATTTTAGTCATATTTAAACCATTTGGACAAAAAAGCAATAAAAGTAGTAATTTGGCTAAATAAAAAAAAATTGCTAGCGCCACCCCAGTAACTGTCTACATATTGAGTATTGAAAGTGAAGAAACCAACACACATTGTACCTGCATGGAGCTTATAGATAAAAGTGATATCGAATAGGTTTTGGGGATGGATAGAATCTTTTATGACAAAATATCATTATATCACAACCCATATTTATTTTTTCCCAGCTGAGATGCCCCCCAGTCTCACCTGCCCAGACCCAGTGATTGTGTACATAGAGAACAACACACTGCCAAAGACTGTCCAGTTCACAGGGGCGGTGGCCAGTGCTGGGGCCATGGTGACCTATGAACCCTCAGAAATGACCTATAATGCCTCAGACATAGACAACCTGCTGTCCCCTGTAGTGGTGACGGCCAGAGATATGATGAACAATACTGCCCAGTGTAGATTCCATGTGGCCGTCAAAGGTGGGTGGACAGTATATGTAGTATTTGTATAGTATATGTAGTATTTGTATTATAATAGTGTGTATGTATTATAATAGTATGTAGTATCTCTAAACATTAAAGTATTTGTACTGGGATAGTATCATGTTGAGACATTCTCTGTATCATACATGTATTTATACCTTTGGTTAAAAGGGTCCGTTACATTTATTGCCTGTGTGTATGTGTGTGTGTGTTCAATATATTTTAATTTTCTTAATAAAAATAATGGCTGTATACAGTAAAGGACTGACTAGGTACCACTGACATGTACTTAAACCAACATTCACCACATAATTCTACCCATGTTATCACATTTCAGCCGCTAACTGCACCCCCTGGGCTCTGCCTGCACCTGTCAATGGCATGAAGAGCTGTATGATGTCACCAGGTGGAGGTTACACCTGTACCATGACGTGTGACGCTGGTTACGCCTTTGAACAGGCCGCTGGTGACCTCAGTTATACCTGTGATGGTAGTCAGGACTGGGTGCCTGGCAACTATGTACCTGACTGTGTGGGTACGTACAGTCATGCTGGGACTACATCTTTTTTTCTTATTGACAAATATTAAAAATCTTTTGAAAAATTTAGTTATTTTGACCGTAATCAAAATCTTGATCAAAAATAGATTTTTACTCTTTTGTATCAAGGCTTAAAATATTATGACCAAATGTCTGCCTACATTTCTCAGTTTAAATTGAAAAAATTATGATCAGCAATTGATCTATAAATCAGTGATCTATTATTTGAAAATTGTGACATGAATATCTATAACTATTTTTATTGTTTCATTTCAGCTACGAGCAAAGCTCTTTTTACCTTTTCCTTGCGCCAGACGTATGATGCAGCTGGGGGAGACCTTAATGACACCTGTATTCAGGAATACACTGCACTCTTCAACAGGGAGATCATGGCAGTGACTGATGCTTTTGAGGTTAATTTGGGAAGATTTTATGTTGCAGGGACAAACATGACAGCTATCATCAGTGACACCACCATGGGAATACTGAGTGCCACGCAGGTAAAATACACTACAGGGTCACATTTCTGTCAAATCATCTAGTGTTCACATCTCGGCTGGTACATGATGCTATTTTTCTATCACTGCATTGTCTGTATAATGCAGACATGAGCTATTTCTGCAGAATCACGGAATTCTGCTTTTTTACATGACCCCAGAGCAATTAAATCCCCCCAAAATTTATGTAAGGCATTAGGTTCCGCAATAAATGTTCAGAGTTTTTTTTCAAAAACCCGGGCTCATGTCTGATAATGGCATCTGCCCACTGGAAGCTGGGAGGTCTTTAAATGAAAATTTAATAATAATAATAATAATAATAATAATAATTTATTTTTCTGTGGCGCATTCCATTAAAAATCTCAATGCGCCTTACAACGTTCACTTAAAAGAGCTAAATAACACAATATTAGTATAAGAACACATTACAAATTTTAAAGGACTAAGAACTAATTTAAAGAACCAATTATTTCATATTCTAAAATGATAAGAAACTAAAGTGACAACATTTAAAATTAATCATAAAATTACAGTACACCTTATTAAAAACTAAAATTAACTATATGATAGTTACTGATAGGCTATTCTAAAAATATGAGTCTTCAAAAGCTTTTTAAAAGTATCTATGTCACCTGCTGCTCGTATTTCAGAGGGTAAGGTGTTCCAAACTTTGGGTGCATATATCATAAATGCCCTTTCACC